TCAATTTATTTCTGGTGCCCACTCTGTCGGTCCTTCTGCCATTCTTATCTTAAATTTTCTTCAACATAGCCACCTCAGTCCCTCCGCTTTATACTTTACACGTCTCCAAACTACCCAAACAAGTGCAATTCTATATAAAAAAATCAGGAACCAAAGTTTAATTTTGAGAAAAACGTTAAATAAACGGATATCACCATAGGCTTTTAAAGAGCACTGCTCTCTGTTTGTGCGATCGAAAAGCATATATTTTCTTGAAAAAGAAGCTAAATGCTTCTCCAAAAAAGTTGGGTTTTAATGAGGAATGTGTAACTAAACTGCATAATAAAATACTTTAAACCATACTGAAGACTGTTAGGTTATAATCGAGTCGTGCTTCATCAAGAGGGTTTTTTGCAATACAGGAATAAGCACCGCTGTCTGCCGGAATGAGTTTTTTAATTGTAAGTGTACCTTGGTCTAATTCATACTTCTCAGAAGGAATAATTATCTTTTCGTCACCATCCTGTAAAAATAAAACCTTTCATAAAATAATGGCATGGAACGCTGCCTGAGGTAGTGGCCTGCTTCTTCCGAAAACATATTTTTTTTCAGAAAACAATAATTATTCAGGATTGTTAGAAGTGCTCCAAATCTGTATATTTTTGCCACTCCTTAAATTGAGAGTGAGAAAAGACAAATACGAGATATAGGATGGAACTGATTTGTTAGGCTTTTCCGGTCCTTTCAGATTCAAAATGCAAAATCTCTAAAAATCACAAGAAAATTCACTGCAATATTATAAAACATTTTAGATGCAGACCACACTCAGTTTCTTCAAAACTATATGAAAACTAACGGTATACTTTGTCCACTGGTAGTGCGGTGGTGGTTTCCCAACTGCCTGACATCTAATTACAAAATCACGCCCTTCAACACCTTGCCGCGTCTCCAGTCCATCAAGCACTGTGATTTGCGGTCGTGCTGAACAAAAAATACATTTATAGCATTCATATATTCAACATTCATGCAGCAATTAAAATCACTGACGACACGCACCGGGTGAGCTCGCGCAATCATGCGTTTTGCAGTATTTCGTGCTCTATTCAGACCGGTTGAAGTCCCAGTAGCTAGAATTTGTGGCATACTGGTCCTCAAAGTTCAGAAGATTAATTGTGCAACTGTGTGGTATCTGGCCAGGGAATGTCCTCTCAAAATTTCAGCTTTCAGGCTTTTCTGGCCCCCGAGTTGGCAGTTTCCCGCCAAAAATTTCTGCGAGGCCATACGTGAAGACCATATACACCTGGGGGCTGAGTTTGAAACCTTTAAGTTGCACGTGGGCTGGGAACACCCCTCTAAAATTTCATCCTCTCAGCTTTCCTGGTTCCTAAATTGGCGATATTCCTGTCGAAAAATTTAACGGCGCCGCAGCGAGAACCACGTACACCTTGGAGCTGAATTAGAAATCTTTGAGTTCTATGTGGACGAGGAACACCCCCTTAAAATTTCAGCTTTCTAGCTTTTCTGGTCCCCGCCAAAACTTTCAAGTGCTCATACGCGGGGCTAAGACGCGCGTAAGGGTTGGCACCGTGGCCCCGGGGTGGTACATGGCCGGGGAATCCACTGGCAAAATTTCAGTGCTGAAGCTTGCTTGGTTGCCGAATTGAAATACTCGGCCACACACACACACACAGACGCACGCACACACACACGCACACACACACATACAAACACACATACACACACACATACACACACAGCACATACCAGGGTTATCATAATATGTGTTTTTGTATTTGCGTGTATGCAAAAACGTACAAATATTACAAAAGTGTTAGATAATGAAAATACGTTATATTGATACCCTAATAACTAAAAAGTACACATTTCGATGAAGCTATAACTAATCAAAAGTATTAGAGACTCGTTTTTATTGAGTAATCATAGAAGAAAAGCAAAGGTTCACTCATCGGGTTCAAGAACAGGTTAGGAAGTAATGCTATTTAGAACAAGAATAAATGGAAAAAGAAATGACACAAAATAACCGTATGCGGTAACATTGATAACGACGGTTTCAAAAGAATAGAACTGCGCAGCGCTACAAGTATACATGCCATTATCTCGCTCGGGATCAAATTTCGGTATCCTTAAAATCTGGTTGTTTTCTCTGAATTCGTAGTCTCGCGGACCACCTGAAATCATTTAAAATCACAAGTCAAAAAAAGCACAACCAATCTGTCGGTACAACATCAACATATTTGAACAACACATTATATTATGCCGTCAACACGCTCGAGATGCAACCAGACAACAGCCTCCGCCGTTTCAAATGTCTGCGATCTTGAACAGCTTCTCTTATACTTTCTCATTCTGTAGAATGACTTTCAATTCAGCAATCGCTAGGCTGGGAAACTTAAATTATAAGAGCATATTGACATTCCACATGCCGCCCCTGTTTTAAAATCAACACTCAAGCGCGCCTAGGTTCCACTACAAACGCTTCAAGAGAGCATGCGAACTTTTTGGCGGGAAGCAATTTTGGGAAACAGTAAATGTAGAAAGCTGGAACATTGCAGGACATTCTAGCCTCATGTGTGAACTAAATAATTCAAATTTAGCTATCGTGCGCAACTGCGTCACATGCATGATTACGTCAGCCCTCAGTTGGCACCATGCCAACTCGAAAACTAGCCGGCAAACAAAGTTGTATTTTCGCCAGAATATTTTTCGTCCTTTCGATAACTCGCACACTTAAATGGCGTTTTGAATTGCACTTGCACCACGCCTTAAAGCACACCAAAAATATTTGTAGTTAAGTAGCGATTTTAGGGAATGAACAAGCTGCGAAGTTGAAATTTTGCAAACATATTTAATATTCACGACTGGTCCAAACTCAGCTTGGAGGCTAAATTCTCCGCGCAAGGACATGAAAAATGTTCACCTTAACACTAGGCTACAACGCACCGGGCTTATCGATACGATCATGCTTTTTTGGGCTCAGTTTGCTGATCGTTAACAGTAAGAACGGTTCCTGCGCTGCGATTTAATACGTGGATTCATACTGGCTGTGATTTGACTTTTTCCTCCTTGCACGAGAAACGGCGTCAGCTGGAACCAAAGTGCTGCATTACAGTCGCATGAATCCTCCAGCGTGCATGATTATCAGTTTTTTGCATGAAACCCGATCATTTTTCCGGAAAACGGTCCTTCATCGGAAAAATGCAAATTTGAAGGGAGTCGGAAGAGTAAAAAATCCGTAAAACAAACTTGCTTTCGAGTTTTCAATAAAATTGAGTATTTGCATGCCTGCATGTAGAGAATTTCACCTCCAAGCTGAATTAAGACTACATATGAATATAGAATATCCTTGCAATGTTTCAGTTTCATAGTTTATCCGATAAGGGAAATAGTTACTTCGCCACAAATATATTAAAAGTGACCTAAGTGGTGGTGCAAGTGCAAATCGAAACTCAATTTAAGGATATGATTTTCCAGATGGATGACAAATATTCTCACGAAATTTCAGCTACTGTTTTCCGACTAGTTTTCGAGCTGGCACACTGTGAACTGCAAAATTTGACGTGACCGTACGCAGTAAAAACATGCGCGATAGCTGGATTTAAAATCTTTAGCTCATTCACGCACAGATAATATCCCTACAAAATTTCAGATTTCTATCTTGTCTGGTTCCCAAAGTCGTTTCCCGCCAATGAAATTTGCCTGTTTTTTAGGGTTTCGTACACGGGATCTAGGCGTGTACGAGCGATGAATTTAAAATGGAAAGGTGACACATGACAAAATTTCAGCCTTCCAATTTTCCTGGTTGCTGAGTTGAAAGTGGGTGAAAAAGTTCACTCACTTCTGAACACAGACACAAACACACACACTCATACACACGGACAACTTCTTAACAATATGCATTTTTGCTCACTTTAGCAGCGTTATAGCGCTGCACAACAATAACTCATAAAAATCATTGGCGAGGCACACCAGGCGAGCCCGCGCGATCACGCGTTTTTATGCGTTTTTTGCAGCTATGCAATGCAAAAACGCATATTGACGAGGGGCTGTCTGTGTGTGCATCCGTCACGTACTTTCATCTCAAGATCTATAAAAGCTGCAGGGCTGAAATTTTGGGGACTTAATCTACATGCACGTGCCGGCCCCAATCCCCAAAATCGGCGCCATCACCCAAGTGGTACCTGCGTACGGGCCCACCAAAGTTTTTTTGGGGTAAGTTCATAACTCGGGGATCTGAAAAGATAGAACGCTGAAATCGTAGGGGGATGTTCCTCGTCCAAGTAGGTGTTAATGCACTCAAACCCATCCCCCCGGGTGTGCGTGATACCCGCGTACGGTCCCGTCAAAATTTTTTTCGGGTAAATTCATAATTCGGGGATCTGAGAAACTAGAATGCTGAAATCTTAGGGGGATGTTCCCCGTCCAAATAGGTGATCACTAAGGAGCCAGGAAAGCTAGAAAGCTGAAATTTTAAGGGGCTGTTTCCTGCCAGTTCTGGCGGCCAGCCTTAATTTGTTCAACTAGAAGCATTTTGCAGAAAAAACCGATGCGGTAGCGACAAAAACTGCGGGAAACTATGCAAAAAACGCATCTTCGCACGGGCAGTCGTGCGTTGGCCAATTATTACAGTATTTTGTGTTGTAGTGAGATTGCTCGGGAACCCAGTAGCTTGAGTGACTTCGACCTTCGGGAAGTTAATTGTGCAACTACGCGGTACGGGGAACATCCCCTGACCAAGTACCGCATAATAAAATGTCAGCCCCCGCGCACAGTTAAGATTTCAGCCCCCAGCGCTTCTGGTTCCCGAGTCAGCAACTTTTTTCGCCAAAAATTTTCATGAAGTTGTACGTGAGAATCGCTCGATCCTGGGGTCTGAATTTGAAATCTTTGAGTTTACTGGACTGAAACACCCCTTCAAAATTTCAGCTTATCTGGTTCCCGAGCTAGCAACTTCCTACCCCCTGCCCCAAACTTTCACAGGGCCGAACTCGAGTACTGCGCGTAACTACAGGCTGAATTTGAAACCTTTAAGTTGTACATGGGCTGGAAACATCCCCTGAAAATCCCATCCTTCCAACTTTTCTGGTCCCTGAGCTAGCGATTTTCCTGCCGAAAAATTTCGCAGAGCTATATGTGAGAATCACGCGATTATGGGGGCTGAATTTGAAATCTTTGAGTTCTACTAGAAGAACACCTCTTCAAAATTTCAAATTTTCAGTTTATCTGGTTCCCGAGCTAGCGACTTTTCCCTCAAAAACTTTCACGGCGCCGCACGTGAGTACCACGCGTAACTGGGGGCTGAATTTGAAATCTTTAAATCGTACGTGGGCTGGGAACATCCTCTGAAAATTTCAGTTTCCCAGCTTTCTGGTTCCCTAGTTGGCGGTCCTCTCGCCAAAACTTTCACGTGGTCGTACGTGGGGCCCGGATCTGTACAAGGGTTGGTACCATGGCCTGGGTGGCATTTGGCCGGGGAATCCACTGGCAAAACTTTGGCGCCAGAGCCTGTTTGACCGCCGAGTTGAAGCACTCGGGCAGACGCACAACCCACACATACATACACACACATCGGGATCATCACAATACGCGTTTTTGCATTTGCATATATGCAAAAACGCACAACAAGTGCATTTTGCTCGTATTTTGTCATCCTTCCCTTTCGACACCCTGCCCATTGCCTAAATTGCAATTTTCAAGTTAATTAAAGCAAACTTTTCCACAAGTTAATTAAATATAATTTTCAATTAACGGCCGGCCACAGGAAATTATTCGTTCCCATCATGGAAAATTACGACAAAATGCATGATGCAGGTCAAGATCTCATGCAGTCCCACGATGTAAACACTGACGTCCCATCCAATGCCCTCATCCCGTAGATAAGAAAAGATCAAAATATAATCAAAATGAGTGCCGATGTTATGCTGTGAAGCAGCAACTACTTCTTCTGTTAACAATCTGGTTGTTTCAAGTTAAACGCAAAAATACATAATGACGCTGCGAATCTTAGTGCATTTAACTCCTTCCGCTCCTCTTCCTCGTAACAGTTTGTGAGGGCGGTCCACGCATTTCTGAAGTGGTGAAACTCAGTGGCTGAGCCAAAAGTACAGGCAAGCTAATATTACTAAGTTTTCAAATGCTAAAATTTTGTTGAGATGTGGAAAATTTAACATGAGGGAAAATTTTGAATAGATTTAAAAGGCTATGAGAGAGAATTAACAGGTCTTCCCCTCTCAGATCCTTTCCCGGATCTTCACCCAAGAATACTTTTTCAAAAGTTAAATATAACGCAGAAGTACTGCAGCACATACCGTATTCTGCTGTTCATTTCATATAGCCTATCAGCACTCCCTCTTTCCCACCTCCGCCCATTCCCAGATGTTACACAGGGTGCGGGAAGCACGTTTGATTTATGCAAATGAATCAGTCACAGACAAAGGATCCCCCACTTTCCACTGCCTTAGTTTATATAGCTCATATTAATATTAAATATTGCTTTTTGCTGAAATCATCTATAAAACGTAGGCTGGAACGCACCAGGCGAGCCGGAGCGATCATGCGTTTTTGCACAAAACTTGA